CGCTGGTCTCGAACCCATGGGCTCAGGTAATCCACTTGCCTCGGCCTCCCAAAGTGCTGGGATGACAGGCTGAGCCACTGAGCCTGGCCTATGCAGGATTCTTTACCTGGAGGAACTTCTTTCCCGTCTTTGAGAGTCAGACACCATATGACATGGTCATCACCGATGTTCTTTTTTCTTTTGCCCCCACAAACTTAGAGCCGACTTGAGAGCAGGGGCTGTGTTTTCTATCGTGCTTTATATCTAGTAAAATGCCAACCACACAGCAGGTGCTCAATAAGTATTCATCACCTAAATCCATAAAAGAAAGCTGAACATGCAAAGGGTCAATTAAATTACCAATTCACTTCTTTGCATGCCAGTTTCTCTTCCTGAAAACAGAGTTAACTCCCCCACTCACCTCACAGGCACCAGCAAAAAGCAATAAAAGACTTTGAGGTTGTAAAAACTGAGTTGCAGGCAGGCTCCACGGCTCAGCCTGTAATCCCAGCACTTTGGGAGGCCGAGGCAAGAGGACGGCCTGAGTCTGCAGGTTTGAGACCAGTCCGGGCAACATGGTGAGACCTCGTCTCAACAATAAATTAAAAATTAGCCGGGTGTGGTGGCATGCGCCTGTAGTTCTGGCTTCTTGGAAGGCTGAGGCAGGATCGCCGGAGCCCAGCGGGGCGATGCTGGGGTGGCCGTGAGTGTGCCACTGCACCCCAGCCTGGATGACGGAGTGAGATTCCAACTCAAAAAAAACAAAAAAAAAAAAAAAAAAGAAAAGAAAAAGAAAGAAAGAAAACTGAGTTGTTTTTTTTTTCTTTGCCTCAAGTGTATATCAATAAGAATCCTGTGAATATATAGCTTTCACAGACTTTGTTATTGTTGCTATCATTTCATGCATCCTGATTTTCATTTGAAAAGCAGATGCAACCCTTGATAAAGTGTTCTTGATGAAATGCTGGGACACCTCAGACCAAAAAACTCATATTGAGACGGAGACCTGCTATTGTCTGTCCATATTGTCACAACCCCTAGGGAAGGGCCTGGTAAGTATTCAAGTGCTTCTGCAGGCATCCACATTCCTGAGTGTTAACAAAAGGTGCCCTTCCCCTTGTCTCCTATGCACCCCAGTAAGTGACTTCAAAGCACTCTTCCCTTCCCTGCAGACTATGCTTAATTAACGGAGAGATGTGAATCCCCATTTACTCCCTTTTCTTACAAGTCAAAGGTTTGTATAACTTTTGCCACAATGTAATCATCAGTCTTGTGATCCAACTTTCACACATAACAACATGCAACAATGTATGATGTCATAGGCCCTGTTAACTCCCTTTACTTCATGGCAAGCTTGATGACTGCTTCTGCCCGGTGTTACTGATACAAAGCTGTGAGACTCCAACTCAAAAAAAACCAAAAAACAAAACAAAGCTGTGGGATACCTCTGATAACTGGAGCCAGGAAACGTGGACCATAACATGTTATTATTGGCAAAATGCGGGTGTAACTTGGGTTCTAGACAATACTCTGCTAGTCACACATAGGTACCAAAACCCCTGAACTTATAAAAGCGGACTGTAAAACTGAAAGGGTAAGCAGAACCATTTTAAAGGGATGAGAAGTCCGGCTTTGCTTCCTGGATTCGAATTCAGAAATAAACCTCTTTCTACCAGTTCTCTACTCCTTGATTGACTGGCATGAAGGGAACAGCAGCCGAGCGTTACTCATTACTCAGACCATAACAATGTGACTAGCCAGAACTTGTGACGTAAGGGTTTGTCATTTGGCTCAATCATGCAAGAGTGGCTCGCTTTTTATTCTAGAGAGACTCACTCATGTCTGCAATCATACGGACTACGTAAGGACGACAATGTCATCATTAAGTCTGTAATCTGAATTAGACCTTAATGAATTTCACAGAGAACTCCAACTTGATAATGGGAGCTAAGAAGTCATAACACCTATTCTGACAGGAAGTGCAGTTAAACTTTTTAAAAAGCACCAGCTATACATGAAAATGACAGGTTAATTGAGGAAGCAGAGTGCGATCTTCTCTGCAGGAAACCACAGAGTGAAGAAGCCTGTTGAGCAGGCATGAGACACAGTCAAATGGCATTCGGTGCGTTATGAAGTAAACATTTGAGAGCTGAGAGTGGAGTGACTTCCTCCACACCAACAAAACCTCAGAAAGCCCAGAGTTACATGGGCTGGGTTCCTCTATTGTTCTTCCAGGGCAGCATGGATTCTCACCCTGGAATGATTAAAAGTACCAGAGCACCGGGCATGGTGGCTTATACCTGTCATCCCAGCACTTTGGGAGGTGGAGGCGAGAAGAATGCCTGAGTCCTGGGATTTGAGACCAGCCTGGGCAACTTGATGAGACCTTGTCTCTACAATAAATAAAAAAATTAGCTGGGTGTGGTGGCACGCACCTGTAGTCCCAGCTACTTGGAAGACTGAGGTGGAAGGATCGATGGAGACCAGCAGGTAGAGGCTGCGATGGTTGTGAGTGTGCCACTGCACTCCAGCCTGGGCGACAGAGTGAGACTACGACTCAAAGAAAAAAAGTACCAGGAGCAAGTGCGATACTCAGATATTCAAATTAATTGATAAATATGTATAGAGAGCATAGAAATATAGTTACATGTATAAATAGCCAGTATGTTCAATCTCCAAATGTGAAAAGTACAATAAATATAGAAGTTAATTGAAACTTAGTTTTTAAGATTTATTGGAATAACTCAGACTTGCTTAATGGAGGAATGTATCCATCACCCAGTATGTAATCTTTGCTATGGAAGGAGCTGGTTCTTTAGGGGAATCCAAACCTTTCTCTTAAGTCAAGGCTTTCTGCTGGGAAAAGGAGCGTGAACTAGCCCTTCTCAAAGGGCCAATATCCCTGAAGGAGAGTGATGTGAAATCACCCCTGGCACATAAGGACAGAAGAAACCAAACACTTAGAGAAGATGCAGAAACAGCAAATCACTAGCAGCTGTGACAACCCTGTCATCAGCCTGGAGATGGTCAGTCCAGACACCTCCTGAATGATGGCCTGGCTCTTGGTTGCCCTGGGTCACATCTGAGTATGGCCTCATTTTCAAACTTAAGACCAGAGCATCACTTCTCCTAAGAATCTGGACATGACTGAAATGCAGTGAGCAGGAAGTTAGTATTCTGGGTACAATGAATTTAAGCTGAAAGAAATTATGTCGCACTCATCTTTAATGCACCACAAGCCTACAACAATGCCTCACTGGAGGGTTAGCAGGTGAATTCATGAAAGGCCTTTAAAGAGAAAAGGAAAATTTACACAACAGCTGCAGCTGAAAGGCTATATTTAAGAAATTAAAGCCAAAAACTCTGTCGCTGAATTAACACTCCATGACTTACCCAGCTATTGCTCAAAGAAAGAATTTATTCACCGAGCTTTTCAGATACAAACAAAATAGCACTTTTTAATTTTCTTACAAAATGAATATTGAAATAAATGGGGTACAGCACAGTACAATAATGAACAAAAGAAAACAAGATCCAATGACTGGAAAATGTCTCTCATTACTCTCTTGTCTTCAGCTGAATTCTCTCCTATGGTGGGCAGAAAGTTGCCCCTTAACTTCATAATAATATCATTGCAGACACTACTCAGAGAAATATTGCATATCTTTGAATAACATTGAAATACAAATGCTTAATGCTAAAGGCCTGCATAAACACTGAAAACATGTCGAGGGTGTAGTGTTTATGCAGGATATACAAAATACTGATACAGTGGCTTATTGGTCCATTTGCTAGGTTTAATGTATGCTTTATAAGTGATAATATTGTATTTAATGGATAGTAAAAAAACAAAACAAAACAGAGGAGCGATGCACCACTAAACCTCCTATACAGTCTGTGTGACAATCCGCATGTCTGTGCATGGGTGTGTGTGTGAATGGCTATGTCTATATATGCTCGTGTGCTTTCAAGAGGGCCATGACCTACAGGGACAGTCTGCGGGGTGCCCTGCTTGCCAACATAACACTGATTCTACTAGCCCTTTTGATTTCCTGGCCCTCACTTAAAAAAAAAAAAAAGAAACAAGAACAAACCCTTATTTGCATATACAGATCTGGGTGTGTATGTGTGTGTGTGTGTGTGTGTGTGTATTATATATTAACAACACTCTGTGGAATAGAAACACCCGATGCCCTGCAATAGTTTGAGCCTTTGGTCCATTTTTCTTCATCATTCCATCCTCTCCATGTTTGACAATATCCCACAAAGCTTCCCTCCTACACAGCGTTCCTGATTTTGTCGGGTTTCCTTCCGTCAGCATGGCATCGGATCGGAACCCACTATTCCACCTCCTGAAAGTAGATGCACGTTTCGGCGCCTTCCAGCCCCTCTGGCCCATCGTCTTCTCTGTCTGCGCTTGGTGGCTCTGTCTCAGTATGGGTAGTGCTTCTGCTTCTTGCCCGAAAAGCAAGCCAGCCACGTGCACAGCAACATGGCGGCCGCAGCACCTGTACCCGTGCAGTAGAAGGCCCAGCCGATTTCACACTTGCCTGGAGACAAAGGGAGGGGAGAGAAAGCGGCACAGATGAGGATGACTTTGCAAGAGGCTTTGCTATTTCTTTCTGCACATACACATGTTCTGAGACACTTGTTTGGAGCAGGGTGTCCCCACTCAAATGGAATGACGTGCGGAACATGACCTTGAGCGTGAAGAAAGCAAGAATAGCTGCTGTGTGCCCTTAGGGAGGATCTCAAATCTCTGCCTCATGCTGGTCAAGAGGTGCCCATTCTTTTTCACCAAGGTCCACGCCTCTGCCCCCAAACAGGGAGGACTGGCAGCGATCAGGAGATGGGAGGAGAGATTAAGGTGCTAATTCTAATTTAAATCACCAAAACTCATATGCATAAGAAGGTATGGTAGAGAAAAATTCAAAATATAGATAGCATCCTTCCGCAAAAGAGCTTCTCTAAGGAGGTGACCCATTGGAAGGACAATGACTAATGCAAAAATGAATACTGTTATTTATGTGGCATCTTCAAATGACTCACCTGGTATGGTCTGAATTGGAGAACAAAAACTTCCACGTTGTTCTGGGGTGAACACTCACCTTGAAGTTAAAATGCCATGTAAATGAAAACGTAATGACAAGGGTCCAGATGGGTCCTGGTTTCTCAGAGTCCAAGTAGTATTGGTGATAACACACCCATAATACTAAAAACATAACTAGGTTTCTTTTTCATACATTATCTTTGTTGATTCTTCTAACAATATTGTAAGGTAGAATACTAGCTCAGCAAAGCTGACAAAAAAGCTGAGATTCAGAGAATTTGGTGATTTACCTAAAGATATGTGCTTATAATGAGTAATACCTGGGCTAGGACTCAAACTTGGGTTCCGATTCCAAGAATAAGTCACTGACCCAAAATATCCTATTTGGATCAATGGAAAGGGTTTCTGTGTCTATTACCTTTTTTTTTCTTTTTTTTTTTTTTTACAAATGGCATCCAAGTTATTCTTTTTGTGTGCACAGTAAAAGAAGGCCTCTATATCTTTCACTAGACATGGTTTTTTCTGCTCCAATTTTCATTCCTCTTTCAGCTAGTCTTACCCTCTTATAAAACTATGCTCCAGCAAGTAGCTATTTTCTCACTTTTATTCTTGTTTACACATCACATCAGCTACAAAAACAGACACCAGGACGTTTGCATTCACAGTCACTGAACATACACATTATAGACTAAAAACCACATCCCTCTTTACACAAGGAAGTCTGCAGGAAAACAGTTGCTGCTTGGGAAGAGTGATGCCATCTTGAAGTGAAACCGCCATGATGCACAGCACAGATAACTCCTCATGAAGAAACAATGTCTACGACATAGACAACCTTCCATAAAGATGTTTATCTAACCTCCCCAGTGGCCACTAGTTTTGCAAGAGAGTCTGAAGCACACATCTTTACCCTAAATCTTATTACACAAAGGATATTTTCTGGAGGGCAGGTGCAGGGATCTGCCGACTCATGGCTGCCCGAGACATGGCTTCTGCTCGTAGGTCCCTATTAAATGTTTTTTCCCTGAGAAACTGGGCTGGCCAGCCTCTTTCCTCTGGCTTCTTAGCTCCTTGGCCTTTGAGGGCGGGTTTGCATAGACCTGCTCACCACAGAACGGTCATTTCTACTTTGTTCATTTCTGAAAAATGCACAACTTCTGAATGACTAAAAAATACCAAGTCTGTTAGGTATAACATGCAGTTCAACTCCGTGTCTTCACTGGAAGCTTGTGGGAGGGGTCGCTAGCACGGCGTCCCATGTTCAAATAAAAGAGCAAGGCGAGACAGAGCTCAGCGGGTTACTGGTTTGTAGTTGTAGTCGCCATGAGTCAACAGCAGCAAAATGAGGTCAAGAGCCTCAACATTTAAAAGTACTCAGGCCATGACTTATGCAGAGACAACAAGCTAGGTTGCTCCACCCTTGGCCAAGGTGTGTCCTTGACATCTCCTTTCCCATATCCAATAATAACAATGTATCAATTGTAACTTGCTCAAGGTTATTTGTTTCCATGCTCTCCCTTATGTTGCAACTATTTGCTCAACATTTTTATAGGTGCTTTACACAGAGTAATTCATAATGCATTTAACCCTCATAAGAACACAATGTGGTGGGCATATGGGCATCCCCATCTTTCTGAAGGGAAGACTGAGGCCAAGGAAAGTTCACTAATAAGTGGCAAGTTCTTTGCTACTCCCCCAGATTCGGCCCTGTATACTGCCCCTTTTCAAATGTCCACAGCAACCCTGCCATCACTGCTTCTTTGCCTACCTACTTCTCCTTATGTCATCACCAACAGCAAAGCAAACAGCATTTAAAAAGAAAAACCAATCAGATCAAGTCACTGTCTCATTGAAAACCCTCCCCAAGATCTATGTTCTAGCCTGAGCAACACAGCGAGAGCTCGTCTCTACAAAAACACTAAAAAATTAGCCAGGCGTGGTGGCACACACTTGTAGTCTCAGCTCCTTGGGAGGCTGACATGAAAAGATTGCCTGAGCCCAGGAAGTTGAGGCTGCAGTGAACCATGATTGTGCCACTGCACTCCAGCCTGGGCAACAGAATGAAACCCTGACACACACACACACACACTCTCTCTCTCTCTCTCTCAATATACAAAAACTATGTTCTGGCTGTAAGCAGCACTTTGGGAGGCTGAGATGAGAGAGCATTGCTTGAGCACAGGAATTCGAGACCAGCCTGGGCAACAGAGTGAGCTCCTTATTTGTCTATTAAAAATAAACCTACGTTCTTCATACAGCCTACGGGGTCTTAAATGAGCTGGTGTTTGCTGATGTCTCAGACCTCATGGCCACCCTCCCTCATATCTTCTCTCTGTCCCCAGTGGCCACCTTTTCTGGGGCACTTCAAGCTTGTGGCTGTCATAAGAGCTTCATCCTCCTAATCCCTTCTACTCAGAAGACTCTACTTCCAGATCGTGGAAACACCTGGCCCATAGTAGGCACTCAATAAATAATTATTGAATAAAAAGCATGGTACAAGAAACACAGAAAGAAAAGAAGCAAGACAAGCAGACAGCCAGTCCCCGAAAACAGAGTAAATCCAGGGCTTTATTTTAAGAGTGGCCCCAGTCCTGTCTAGGACTCGGAAATTTTGCAGAGAAGTTCCTAACTCAAGTATTATTTCCAGCCTCATAAAGAGTGTGTGAAATTTAACAGGGTAATAGATTCTGAAAGATCACATCTCTGCCTCGGGGTAGGCAGTGCTGGTACAATGACTTCCATTAATAGGGATAGATAAAATAAGCATTTTTCATGGGTAACCGAGTCTCCTTCAAGGGCCAGATTTACTGGCAACCACGGGCTAATGTGGTCGTGAGTCTTGGGAGTAATCGCCATTTTGAATTATTCTTCAGCTGGATTAAATAAATCTAAGGGGGAAATTAATAGGTAGTTAAGGGATGACCAGTGGTTTAGAACCTTTCAAAGAGTCAGCAAAATTTGTGGTCCATTTGCCCAGCCCAGGACTCATGGCATCAAAAGCAATCAGTGGTTCATTATTCATGAGGTATTGACCCACACAGAGCTCCATGACCTAACACGAAGAGCAGAGTACATAATTCTTTATTAATTATTGGGCTATTACACAAGAAAAAAGTCACTGTTGAAGCTGTTTAAAAACAGTAGGGGTGACAGGAGCCATGTATATTAAAGGTGAAAAAAGAAGCTACTACAGGGTTAACCAAGGAGAGGGGGACAGTAAATAGGCCAGTGCAGTGGCTCACACCTGTAATCCCAGCACTTTGGGAGGCTGAGGCAGGAGGATTGGCTGAGCCTATAAGTTCAAGCCCAGTTTGAGCAACATAGTGAGACCTCATCTCAATTTTTTTTTTTCTGAGTTGGAGTCTCACTCTGTCACCCAGCCTGGAGTGCAGTGGCATGCTCCTGGCCACCACAGCCTTGACCTGCTGGGCTCCAGTGATCTTTCCGCCTCAGCCTTCCAAGTAGCTGGAACTACAGGCACATGTTACCACGCCTGGCTAGTTTTTGATTTATTGTAAAGACGAGGTCTCATCAAGTTGCCCGGGTGGGTCTCGAACCTGTGGGCTCAGGCAATCCACTCACCTCAGCCTCCCAAAGCGCTGAGATTACAGGCTGAGCTACCAAGCCCGGCCCTCATCTCGTTAAAAAAAAATATTAAAATATGTAAGATAATATAAAAACAAATGTCTATTTTATTTTTTACCTTTTTTACCTTTTTTTTTGCAGAGAAGTCAACAAAACAGCAGAAGTTTAACCTTCCTAGGGGCTCCGTAGTCAACCAGGTAGACACGTCACCCCACTCCTCTGCATCCCTTCGCCGGTTTTATAGTAGACTCTCACCCCTGGCCTCTGTCTGTGCCTCGTTCCAAACAGCTTACACTCGCAGCCCTTTTCAGGGAACCCCAGAGCCCCTGAAGACACATTGCCCCAGCTCTCTGGCAGCCGGGATGATCCCTGGCATGACCTGTGGCTGATGATGGATCTCTGCAGGATGGTGCGCGCGCTCTGACCTCAAGACCTGGCAGTTTTCCAATCCTCCAGTGTAAGGCATGCTCCCAGCACCTGGGGGCTCAGGTGGCGGCTGGGTCCTCACCCCAGCTGCACCCTGCCCGGCATTTGCTCCTTCCCACCTTGCTCTCCCACATCCTTACTGGTTTTTCCTTGACATCTTTCCTTAGTCATTAGAACGCAGATCCTCATCTCAGGACTTCTGGGGAACCAGATCTAAGACACGAGTTGACCGGGCTCGGTGGCTCAGCCTGTCATCCCAGCACTTTGGGAGGCCAGGGTGAGTGGATTGCCTGAGCTTGAGGGTTTGAGACCAGACTGGGCAACCTGGTGAGACTTCATCTCTACAATAAATCAAAAATTAGCTGGGCATGGTGGCACGCGCCTGTAGTTTTGGTTACTTGGAAGGCGAGGTGGAAGGATCGCCAGAGCCCAGCAGGTTGACGCTGGGGTGGTGTGAGCATGCCACTACACTCCAGCCTGGGCGATGGA